ACTGTTATTTTATTTTACTTCTGCTCTTTTTTTCTCAACACTTTTTTTGTAGTTTTATTTTTACTTTTTTTGTTAAAAAGAAATGCACTGTTGGTTAAGGGCTGTAAGTAAGCATTTCACTGTAATGTCTGCACCTGTTGTATTTGGCGCATGTGGCCAATAAAATTTGATTTGATTTTGTCCTCAAAAGTGACTACACCTCAACAATTTATAACTATTTTTTACCAGAAATGTGAGACTTTAACCTTTCTTGGAGTATGCAGCATTTCTAGCTATTGTTTATGGTCCGCTAATGATAAATAATAAATTTCGGGGATTATGTAGATTATATATTGTTACAGGTAGCTGTAACAATATATGGGGCGGCAGGTAGCTTAGTGGTTAAGAGCGTAGTGCCAGTAACCGAAAGGTCGCTGGTTCTAATCCCCGAGCCGACTAGGTGAAAAATCTGTCGATGTGCCCTTGAGCAAGGCACTTAACCCTAATTGCTCCTGTAAGTCGCTCTGGATAAGAGCGTCTGCTAAATAACTAAAATGTAAATGTAAAATGTACATTTAAGAGGTTTTTAAAAGTGTGCAGGCACAGAACAGCGCAGCACAATAGGATAGCGCGCGGGAAGTACTGCATCCATTCAATGAACAAACAAGACAGATCGGCAGGGAAAGTTCGGGATTTTCTGTGCAAATTATGATGCAATGAATAAGCAGTGAATAATCAATGAAGTAGCAAGTATCATTTTCCAACATTAAGTCAGCAATATACCACTCGATTTTACTGTTTTTAAACATCTGTTGTAAGCAACAACAATATATATATATATATATATATATATATATATATATATACACTGCTCAAAAAAATAAAGGGAACACTTAAACAACACAATGTAACTCCAAGTCAATCACACTTCTGTGAAATCAAACTGTCCACTTAGGAAGCAACACTGATTGACAATACATTTCACATGCTGTTGTGCAAATGGAATAGACAACAGGTGGAAATTATAGGCAATTAGCAAGACACCCCCAATAAAGGACAGGTTTTGCAGGTGGTGACCACAGACCACTTCTCAGTTCCTATGCTTCCTGGCTGATGTTTTGGTCACTTTTGAATGCTGGCGGTGCTTTCACTTTAGTGGTAGCATGAGACGGAGTCTACAACCCACACAAGTGGCTCAGGTAGTGCAGCTCATCCAGGATGGCACATCAATGCGAGCTGTGGCAAGAAGGTTTACTGTGTCTGTCAGCGTAGTGTCCAGAGCATGGAGGCGCTACCAGGAGACAGGCCAGTACATCAGGAGACGTGGAGGAGGCCGTAGGAGGGCAACAACCCAGCAGCAGGACTGCTACCTCCGCCTTTGTGCAAGGAGGAGCAGGAGGAGCACTGCCAGAGCCCTGCAAAATGACCTCCAGCAGGCCACAAATGTGCATGTGTCTGCTCAAACGGTCAGAAACAGACTCCATGAGGGTGGTATGAGGGCCCGACGTCCACAGGTGGGGGTTGTGCTTATAGCCCAACACCGTGCAGGACGTTTGGCATTTGCCAGAGAACACCAAGTGGCAAATTCACCACTGGTGCCCTGTGCTCTTCACAGATGAAAGCAGGTTCACACTGAGCACGTGACAGACGTGACAGAGTCTGGAGACGCCGTGGAGAACGTTCTGCTGCCTGCAACATCCTCCAGCATGACCGGTTTGGCGGTGGGTCAGTCATGGTGTGGGGTGGCATTTCTTTGGGGGGCCGCACAGCCCTCCATGTGCTCGCCAGAGGTAGCCTGACTGCCATTAGGTACCGAGATGAGATCCTCAGACCCCTTGTGAGACCATATGCTGGTGCGGTTGGCCCTGGGTTCCTCCTAATGCAAGACAATGCTAGACCTCATGTGGCTGGAGTGTGTCAGCAGTTCCTGCAAGAGGAAGGCATTGATGCTATGGACTGGCCCGCCCGTTCCCCAGACCTGAATCCAATTGAGCACATCTGGGACATCATGTCTCGCTCCATCCACCAACGCCACATTGCACCACAGACTGTCCAGGAGTTGGCGGATGCTGTAGTCCAGGTCTGGGAGGAGATCCCTCAGGAGACCATCCGCCACCTCATCAGGAGCATGCCCAGGCGTTGTAGGGAGGTCATACAGGCACATGGAGGCCACACACACTACTGAGCCTCATTTTGACTTGTTTTAAGGACATTACATCAAAGTTGGATCAGCCTGTAGTGTGGTTTTCCACTTTAATTTTGAGGGTGACTCCAAATCCAGACCTCCATGGGTTGATAAATTTAATTTCCATTGATACTTTTTGTGTGATTTTGTTGTCAGCACATTCAACTATGTAAAGAAAAAAGTATTTAATAAGATTATTTCATTCATTCAGATCTAGGATGTGTTATTTTAGTGTTCCCTTTATTTTTTTGAGCAGTGTGTATATATATATATATATATTATATTTGAACAATATTACGTTTTTGTAAACTATTTAATATCAAAGACAGACAATTTAATGTACCTGGGGAGAGCTGGATGTTCTGAACTTTAGGCTGATTCGGGGATGGCGGGGATGGCTGGGGGGCCAACACCTGTGGCGCGATGGCTCGGATCCCTCCCGGGCTATTGTTCAATAGCGGAGTTTGTATGTCCATGCCCGGTGCACTTGTGGTGGGCTGACCCGCTACATTGACAGCCAAAGGTAATCCCGTATTAGTGCGCCCATTCAACGCTGTACCCGATCCCGCAGTTTGCATTGATGGCCTCAAAAGTGTTGCAGTATGCCATGGGCGGCGCACAATTGGTCCAGCGTCGTCCAAGGTAGGGGCGGGTTTGGCCGGCAGGTATGTGGGTTCGTTTCCCACGGGGGGCCAGTATAAAAAAAATAAAAAATAAACATGTATGCTTTCACTAACTGTAAGTCGCTCTGGATAAGAGCGTCTGCTAAATGACTAAAATGTAAAAGTAATATGTCCAGTGCCCAGACTCGCAGCCTGAGACGAGGTGACAACATTCCGAGAGTACATGAAAGATGTAGGGATGACAGTGTTCGATGAGGGTGGCATTACTGCGCTCGCATATCCTTTTGACAACCCCGGCCCGTTGTCAACTGTGACAGCAACTTTGGCATTACCGCTACTCGTACTTGGCAGTGTCCCCGTGAGCGAGACAGCGCTTCCTGAATTGTGAGCGTTCGTTATATTGCCTCCATTTAAAGTTTGAGCTGTGGGAGAGACTACTTTTCCCCCGTGGTTTGGGAGAGAAGTTATTTTACTGGCACTGACAGCAACTGTATTGCATTGACCGTACTCTGCCGATGAGTCCGACTCAGCGGATGACGCATCCATAGCTGAACTCTGAGACATTGTATTACTAACAACACCCCCTTGCACTTCAGCCCGTTGTAGAGCGGAAACAAGCGTGAGAGAATAGGGTGACACAATGAATGCTAAGTAGGTTCTCCCAAGATAAACTACTGTTTGCTTTCGTTTACACTTAGAAACAACAAGCAAAACTACGTTAACACAGCATACCTGCTTTTGCAACCTCTTGCGCAAGTCCCCGTTTGCTCTGCTGGACATTAGCATTAGCTGCCCCCTGTCCCGGAACTGTGTTTAGCAACTGTCTGGCTCCTTACCCAAGGGTTCCAGTGACCTGAGCCCGAAAGCTCGGACTCAAAAGACCCCACAAGATCACTAACTACTTTCTCGTCCACCTCAGTGTTAAAGAAAACCTCGTCCAGCAGATCGGTGCCTGCTGCCATGTTCACACTGCTGTGGAGCGCGGAAAGTGATGCGCGCATGCGCAAAATACATGGCAAGTCACCCAACAGGTATTCCGGAATGCAGTGATTGGTCGTTTCCCGATAATAAAGGGCGGGACAAATGGCTCCCACTGTCATTACAAGGATGTACGTCGAGTTGGCCAAATGGTGGAATGAACTCGATAGTACACATTGTATTTAGCGTATTTCCATTCATATTCTAGACAAGCGATTTTTGAATCCTGGTCTCGAGGTTCAAGATGGCTCCGCGGTTTTTGTTCAGCAAGTTTGGAGAGCCACTTTAGAAATGCGTTTGAGGGCGCCGTGGCCAAAACTTCTCTGCCAACAACATTTTAGAATGCTGTCAAAACCACATGGGGACTGTCAACACATAGGAGAAGTTGTGTTCGGTGTGAAATAAATGTATGGAATTGATCAAATGAGAAACTGTTTACAGAATGTTCTGTTTTTGATGGCATCGGCTTAAAGCCTATCCTTTTTCCCCCCCAGATTGGTCTACGTCCGAACAAAACGGTTTAGGGTTAGGGTTAGGGTTAAAATGTGCTAAACGTATGCCTAAAATAAAAAGCTGTTAATACAATTGAAACAAATAAAGACTATGACAATAGGGCTGGTTTCCCATACATAGATTAAGATGAGTCACATTTTAAAAACCACACTCAACGGAGAATCTAGATTTTTTATTTTTATTATTTCAGCTCACTAATAGGCTATTTAGTATGTCTCCCTTCTGCGATAGAGGGGAGAAAATAGCACACAAAACATTTAACAGATTGGGTTGGTCTTTGCATGAAAGACTGAAAAAAATCTGACATTCCATAGTGCCCTGGACACTTGATGCCCCATCAATAATAGGCCTATGCAATATGGGTAGCCTAAATGGGTAGGTCAATCTAGAAATCAGTTTCGAGTTCTCAAAAAAAAAAAAAAAGTTCTCAGAAAACGTTTAGGCTATTCCGTAAATCCAACTAAAACATCGTTCTATTAAAGGGACTTGTTGCAGTGATACGATAATAATTTCCTTCCACTCAAACCGCAGGCTTGGCTAGGTTCTAATTTTAATGGATGCGTGACGGCAATTGGTTTTGTAATATAAAGCACCTGTTTTCACAAATTGTGCACCTGCTGATAAATGATAAATTCGAGTTTGGTGTCGGCCTTCGGGAAATGCGGAAACAAAACGATGGCTTGTGTTGAGAAGTAGAAATAAAGACTACTGTAACAGCAACAATGAGCACCGGAACACCTTATATTGGAAGTAAAATAAGTCTAATATCCAAGGCCGGGATTCGTTATGAGGGCATTTTGTATACAATCGACACGGCTAACGCGACGGTGGCTTTGGCAAAGGGTGAGCTTTCCCATCAATTGAAGAGTTTGTTTGGCAAACGCTCCACGTTTGGAATGAACTCTGGCACACTGCGTTTGGGCCTACATGCCTTGGGTAACAATCTACTTCCAAAGGTACAATCTTGTCATCTTTTTTCACAGTTAAATCATTCGGGACAGAAGGCCGTCCTACAGACAGACCAGTGCCACCCAAAGAGGACATTTATGAATACATAATTTTCAGAGGGAGTGACATCAAGGACATAACGGTGTGTGAGCCGCCTAAACCACACCATGGTTTACCTCAGGACCCTGCCATTGTACAGGTAGGAGACATGGGCCAATACATCAACTCTGCTAAGAATAAATATCACATTGACGTCCATGCATATGATAAAGCACACATAGCCATAATAATACAGTCCCGTGTAGCTCAGTTGGTAGAGCATGGCGCTTGCAACGCCAAGGTTGTGGGTTCGTTTCCCACGGGGGGCCAGTATGAAAATGTATGCACTCAGTAACTGTAAGTCGCTCTGGATAAGAGCGTCTGCTAAATGACTAAATTGTAATTGTAAATTGATAAGACATAAGCATTTGTTTGCGTTTCCTTTTTGTAGTCGTCGATTGGGAGTTCCTTAACCACATACCCGTCCCAGGCCCCATACAGTCCCTACAGGAGTATGGTACCTTCCTATAACCAACTGGCTGCCAACTCTCTACTCAACCAGCAGTATGCTGCTTCCCTGGGTCTGGGTGAGTGAAACTGTGTTGGAGACCCTAATAAACACACAGCCACCTTCATGATGTACTGTTTTTCAAGATTTCATCATAATAGCCCCTGAACTGCTGAGGCCCTTATACTTAACTGCTATTTAACACATTTTAACTTTGTCTCCATGTAGTGTCTAATCTTAAGAATTCTGGAAAACTGTACCAGATCTCTTAACCTCTTTCCCCATGTATTGCTTGGCCTGCCTTAGGAACAGGACTTCACTGCCTTCCAGCAAGAAGAGGCCCGATGGTAGAGCAGGCTGTCCAGACTGTACCAGCTGAGAATGCTGCCGAAAAAAGGGGCCAGTCTGCCTCCCAGCAGCAAGGCAGAGAGTCTGGTTGGCCTTCCCAGCACTCTGGCAGAGATGGCCCTCCGTCTCAGAGGACCGCTTCCAGTGGTAAGCTCAGACAACCGGATTGAGGGCTTCTGGTAATGCGTGGTACATAGTTGGAGTACTCTCAACAGGAACACCTGGGTTGTGTTCATTAGTTGGATTCATTGCAAAACTTTTCATATTTTGCAAACATCTTTGCAACGGAAACCGTTTACTCTACGAACCAAACGGAAGCAAACAGCAAATAACCAGCGGGACCTACCTGAATTTGTCCAACAAACACTTGTTTTCAGAGTAAATGGTTTCCATTGCCAAATGTTTTGCAACAGAATACAACTAATGAATACAACCCTGTTCTGGAGTGTTTTTACTCCTGCTTTATGAATTCCAATCAATTGAGGGAGCAAGAACTTTAAATTGCACTTGTTTTATGAGTAATGTGATGGCATGAAACTATAGTTGGTGACGCTGTCATGATTTTAAAATGTAGATGTTGTGGTGCCCCTCTCATCCCTTGTCAATGTTTAGGTCAAACAACACTGCGTGGCACAGCCCAGGAACAAAGGCAAGGCAATGACGAGAACCGCAGACCACCGAGACGAAGACAGGGTAACTAGCAATGTCATGGTCTGTTGTAGAGGTTTGCTTTCATATTTGTTGTTAATGTCTAAATGTATCAATATGCTCACAGGCAATCGTAGGTCAAGGAACCGTGGGAGAGGTCAGCTTCTTGTAGGAAACTCAAAAGCCAGAACCTTACAATTTGAGTCTGACTTTGATTTTGAAACCGCCAATGCTCAGTTCAACAAAGATGAACTCGAGAAGGAGCTTCAGGAAAAGTTGACCATCAAAGGTACCTGCATGCAAAGTGATTACCCAAGTATTCCAAATTTGAGAAACAAATGTTGCTCAGTGAAATACTGTATGTGTAACTATGATTGTCAATCTAGGCACTAAGTTGCTTAACTGTAGAGATAAAAATGAAACATGTCAATCTTTAACCACACCTAAAATAATTATAGAATTTGGAGTTGGTAGCCTTTCTCTTTTAATCCCTATATAAGAATGTGACCCTCTGTTGTTCTCGTTCAGACCCAGAGGAGAAGGTAGAGTCTGAGGTTAGTGAGGGCCAGGACACTGAGGGCACAGTGGAGGATCCTCCTGGGGAGAAGTTCTACTATGACAAAACAAAGTGCTTCTTTGACAATGTCTCATCTGAGATGAAGTCTAGGTAAAAAATATGTACTTAAAAAAAAAAAAAAAATTCTATTTTCTGAAAGGTTAGTGAATTAACAGGCTGTCAATCTGTCCCACCCTGTCTCTCAGGAGGACCACCTGGGCAGAGGAGAGGAAGCTGAATGTGGAGACGTTTGGTGTTCCGGGCCGATTCCTGAGGGGCAGAGGATTCCGAGGGGTCTATCGTGGGAGGAGAGCTGGGAGGGCCAACCAGCGTCCCATGCCTAAAGTAGACAGTGCAAGGGTGTGAACAGGTGGGCAGTTACCTACCTCTTACTTACTGTCCATAATGTTAGCTTTTTATTTGCTTTTTAGTTTCCTAGATGCTTTCCTACTACCATCACTTGGCATCAGTCTCTTTTTGTTAGTTTTATCTTTTACTGGTATTTATGTAAGAGTTGATACTGAAGTGGCCTATGATTCCTTCCCTTCCTCTTGAAACACTTGTTCTTGGCCCTGGAGCACTTAAATCCAAATGACGGATAAGATTTTAAGTTGAGTTTTCTTTTCATTTCTCCTTTGTGCCTTGTCAAAGTTGTGAATGGCACATCACTATTTGAACAGGAATTGCAATTGTGTACATAGTTTCTGTGTTCAGAATCTATTTTCATTCATGGTACTGTAGTGCAATTTCTCTACGTATTAGAAAACATCAAATTCTTGCGTTTGCCTTGTAAAAAAAAAAAACTGCAGGCATAATTATTTAGCAAATATTTTCTTAGAACCAAAGCGATGTACATAACTTATTATTTATCTTCAATTATTTCTTGTAAATAAAACTGGGTTGGCATGTCTATTGACTGGCCAAATATGTACACATGGCCCTTAAAGGGTGATTTTCCCACATGTTAAATTTATGGAAATTGGTTATAGTTGTACAAAAGCATATATTTTTTTTTTTAGATACTGAAAATGTTATTGAAACTGTGGGAAACTTGTATTGTTACTAATCCATTAATAAACATGAGAAATTACTTGATTGTGTACTGATTTAGCATAATCTGCCAACAGTGAACACAACATTGAGTTTGATCTCAACATTGAAATTAATATTTAATGACCTGCTGCTGCTCCAACTGCTGTAGTGTATAATTCATCCTTAGCATAGGTTTGTGTGCAGATACAAGCCAGCTGGTTGAACCTGGGGCCCATGTTGTCCAACTCTCTCGGTCAAGGGTCTTGTCAGGGATGGAGATGGACTCCAGGTCTGGTTCTGGGGCAGAATGAGTCCCTTTCATCGTGAGGGTCATAATCACCCAGCTCCTGGCCTGGGGCTTGTATGGTGACTAACCTCTGCTGTGGAGAGCGGAGCAGACGAGTTGGCAGTCTGGAGCAGTAGTTGCAAACTAGATTACATTTCACTAGGTCGCCAAAAACAGTCTGCCACACCTGCTGAAAAACCAACCTGATGGAGCATGTTGATAAGGGCAGCCTCTGTCACAACTGCAGTCCCGTCTAGTCTCTTTCACAGTCCCTTCTAGTCATGGACTATTTCATGCGTAAAACTGGTCCCTGTAGAACAGTACTTCTAAACAGGTAGGCTTGTATCAAAAGATTACAAGAGAAATGTGATCAAAACCATTTGATATGCCAGTTACTGTACCTGGTAATGGCAGCAATTGTTTGTAATTGTTGTGCACTCGTCCTTTACGATTCATAAAGTTAAGAGTGGAAAACGCAGCATATGGGTATGAAATCAAGACAAAACTGAAACGAGGCCTGCCGACTCTGTATAATTGTAACGGATCATTTTAAATGACCAGAGATGAATGCATACTGTGTACATTGAGCTGCCGTTGAACAGATGGTGAAAATGCTGTTCCCCTTGATCCACAACACTTACAATTTATGAAGCGTTGGTCTGAAACCTGTACAATTAAGGTAAGGGATAGTGATATTCATCCCAAGAAAGTTCCTTAAACATTTTCTTGTATTGCCCAATCATAACTGTAGCCTCACCCACCTGAGTCCAATGTGATACCAACTCACCAGTGACGTTCGCTGACGATTTCCATTAGGCAGCACTGGTAGCATATTGCGTACCTTGGCATTAAATTACATTGTCAACAAATACTTAACGATAGTTGCACCTTATGAAATTGTCAAGCCATACTGAACATAACTGTTGTACATTCATAGGCCAGCAGTTTAAGTATTCCAATACCTCAGTATTTGTCAATGTTTGAGTGAAGCAAGACATGTCCAGAGTTGTGGTCAACATGGATGGTGGACATCTCCGCATCACGAGAGTCAGAAATCACCAGCAGCAGGAAGATGACAGTCCGATACAAATGTTAATTGTAGTCTTTTCTAGTAAATAAAAGCAGTAGCACACATGGAGGCGAATATGATGCAGATGGTCCCATTGGGTGACTGTTGCTCTTCCCTTCTCTGGTGGTAGTTGGGCATGACGGAACAGTAACAGAGGTTGTACAAGGAGAATGTCAGAGATCCTCCGCTGGAGAGTGTATTGGCTTGCATACACTGCAAGCTCCTTCACCAGGTTCACAGTGAAACCTTATGTAAGACAGACCTCAACACAGATTGATAAGGGACACTTCACAGATGACATTGAGTTGAACTTTTGTCAGATGAGTGATTTATTTTTTACATTGTCACCAAAACCTAAGGGACATTTTAAATGGCAGAATCATCTACCATATTAAGGGTCCATTCCCCACTTTCCAAGCAGCTCCAATTGGAAGGGTCTTCCATAGGGCTCTTGGTCCAGGTTAAAGGCTGTGATGTGGGCCCTTCAGACACACATGTCCAGTCTGCTCTCAAACAGCTGTGGGATGTTGTCATTCTGGTCCTTCTCGTGGATGCTCAGGGTCCATTAGCCTGTCATCAGTGGCTCACATGCCTTCGGAAAGTATTCAGACCCCTTGACATTTTCCACAATTTGTTGCCTTACACTAAAATTGATTAAATAAATACAATTCCTCATCAGTCCAAACACTATATCCCATAATGACAAAGCGTAAACAGGTTTTAAGAAATAAAAAATAGGAATACATTATTTACATAAGTATTCATACCATTTGCTATGAGACTCGGAATTTAGTTCAGGTGCATCCTGTTTTCATTGATCATCATTGATGTTTCTAGAACTTGATTGGAGTCCACCTGTGGTAAATCCAATTGATTGGACATGATTTGGAAAGGCACACAATTTCTTGCAAAAATGTATTTAAACCTGTTTTTGCTTTGTCATTATGGGGTATAGTATGTAGATTGAGGGGGGGAAAAAACAATTTTAATCCATTTTAGAACAAGGCTGTAACCTAACAAAATGTGGAATAAGTCAAAGGGTCTGAATACTTTCCGAAAACACTGTGTGTGTGTGTGTGTGTGTGTGTGTGTGTGTGTACCAGTCAAAAGTTTGGACAACTACTCATTCAAGGGTTTTTCTTGATTTATTTTTACTATTTTCTACATTGTAGAATAATAGTGAAGATATCAACACTATGAAATAACACATATGGAATCATGTAGTAACCAAAAAAGTGTTAAACAAATCAAAATATATTTGAGATTCTTCAAATAGCCACCCTTTGCATGATTACAGCTTTGAACACTCTTGGCATTCTCTCAACCAGCTTCACTTGGAATGCTTTTCCAACAGTCTTGAAGGAGTTCCCACATATGCTTAGCACTTGTTGGCTGCTTTTCCTTCACTGCCATCTGACTCATCCCAAACCATCTCAATTGAGTTGAGGTCAGGGGATTGTGGAGGCCAGGTCATCTGATGCAGCACTCCATCACTCTCCTTCTTGGTAAAATATCCCTTACACAGGCTGGAGGTGTGTTCATTGTCATGCTGGAATACCCATCCACGACCCATTTTCAATGCCCTGGCTGAGGGAAGGAGGTTCTCACCCAAGATTTGACGGTACATGGCCCCGTCCATCGTCCCTTTGATGCGGTGAAGTTGTCCTGTCCCCTTAGCAGAAAAACACCCCCAAAGCATAATGTTTCCACCTCTGTGTTTGACGGTGGGGATGGTGTTCTTGGGGTCATAGGCAGCATTCCTCCTCCTCCAAACACTGTGAGTTGAGTTGATGGCAAAGAGCTCCGTGTTGGTCTCATCTGACCACAACACTTTCACCCAGTTTTCCACTGAATCATTCAGATGTCCATTGGCAGACTTCAGACGGGCATGAGCAGGGGGACCTTGCGGGCGCTGCAGGATTTCAGTCCTTCACAGCGTAGTGTGTTACCAATTGTTTTCTTGGTGACAAGATCCTCCCGTGTAGTTCTGGGCTGATTCCTCACCGTTCTCATGATCATTGCAACTCCACAAGGTGAGATCTTGCATGGAGCCCCAGGCCGAGGGAGATTGACAGTTATTTTGTGTTTCTTCCATTTGCTAATAATCACACCAACTGTTGTCACTTTCTCACCAAGCTGCTTGGCGATGGTCTTGTAGCCCATTCCAGCCTTGTGTAGGTCTACAATCTTGTCCCTGACGTCCTTGGAGAGCTCTTTGGTCTTGGCCATGATGATTGATTGATTGATTGCTTCTGTGGACAGGTGTCTTTTATACAGGTAACAAACTGAGATTAGGAGCACTCCCTTTAAGAGTTTACTCCTAATCTCAGCTCTTTACCTGTATAAAAGACACCTGGGAGCCAGAAATCTTTCTGATTGAGAGGGGGTCAAATACGTATTTCCCTCATTAAAATGCAAATCAATTTATAACATTTTTGACATGCGTTTTTCTGGATTTTTTTTTGTTGTTATTCTGTCTCATGTTCAAATAAACATACCATTACAATTATAGACTGATCATTTATTTGTCAGTGGACAAACGTACAAAACCAGCAGGGGGTCAAATACTTTTTTCCCTCACTGTATATATATATATATATTTTTTTTTAAAATATTAATTGAAAGCAGTAAATTAACTCCACTCAATATACTCTGAGCATTTCATGACTCATGGACCAATAACATGTATTAAAAATATCTTCTAAAGTTTCATAATTATATAAATATTAGTTAATGGGAAAATATGGGATTTGTTTCAATTTCTTGATAAGTTTCTGTTTTGGAGATAATACATTTTCATCCAGGATTAATGTGTTTGGGGATGGATGTGTGCTCATGTGGTGAAAGAAGTTGAACTGCATTTCTTATGCATACATTTTTCAGATGAAATCTGCCTAAGGTAATGCATGTGTGGCGAACAATTAAACTAGCATGTCAAGCTGTCTCACATACAATGAGTTTGGTTTGTATATGTACTTTTGGATTCATGTTTTGTGTGAATAAGGATAAAAAAAAAAAAAGAGGTAGAGGTATCAAGTCTAACAGGTCTTGGTGGTAGAATGTCCTGTGAACAGTGCACATCTAACCTACAGACAAGACCAGTAGCAGGGTTTGTCAATTACTTTGCCCGACAAAATGTCTAGATTCACAGGGGAGCCACTGGAACAAACAGTAAAAATACTTTCGCACAACATTGTTTCACACAATACCTCCACACACAAAAAAGGAACACAAATAATTGTTTGCAGGGAAACAAATGCTGTTTTTTATTCCTCTTTATAGTTAAAACAAATAAACTTTAAGTCAGAAGAAGAGGAGACTAAGAGAAAGATAACAAATGAAAGCACCACTAAGCACTATGTACAGTATGTCCTTAGTTCTTATTTGTGGCAGGTGTTTTGGGGTTGGTTGAAGATTTTAGGGATATGGGAACCAAGGGCCAGATTTACAAAGCATGGCAAAGTTTATATGTTTTTCTCTAAAGAAAAAAAGTTAACCTGTCTTTATTTACATCTTACATTTTTTAAAATAATTCTCTACATCTTTATTATACCAATTATTCTACCTTTATTTCAACCTGGTTAATACAGATGCTTACTTTTTACTAACACTCCTTCCCGAAAGAGTACCACACATTGCCAGATCCTAATAGAATCCTAAATGAGGAAATAATAAAAATGTCCTGTCATCTACATGCCAGAAGTATAAATGGAGATAAGCAAGCTTGGAGAAGATTTGGCTTTCTATGGACAGTTCAGGCAAAACAACATGAAGAGTAAAGAAAAGGCTGTGGAAAGTGACAGTTGCCTTGCCAGTCCATGAAAGACTTCTGTGTGTGAGTGTCCAGTTTCAGTGATACTTGTAAGCATCAGTAAGTCCAAAATGTTACTGAATATTGGAAGTGAAGGAAGGCGCCTAGGAAGAGAGGATAGACCGATCCTTCTCCTCATCTTTCCCTGGGGGTGATCCCATCAGCAAGTGTGTGTCGACACGCACATTCTCATCATCTGATTGGATGACTGGGGTGTCCCATCTGTCCTCATTGGTGTTCTGGCTGTGAGTGGAGGGGGTGGAGGACATGCAGAACTTCCCATCACAACCGTCATTGTAGTGGCGAGAGCGTCCCTGGTTGATGACCTCATTGTTGTTGTTGTTGCCATGAACTACTGTGGGGGAAATGAAAGGGATATTAGACAAAATATTCTCAGTGCTGCACTCAGTATTGCAGTTAGTGTTGCCAGCTAGTATAGGGTAAAAGCCTTGACTCTCTGCCAAATACTACACTATCAACATGGGATGGCCTCAGACTGGCCTCTCTCCTCCACTCACCTTTACCTGGCAGAGGGGAGGCCAGCACCCCCTCATCCCCCCCAGAGCTGAGGAAGACATCCAGGGCTTCCTGGTCAGAGATGTCCATGAGGTCCATCTGCTCCAGCATGTCCACATTAACTTCCATGGACGAGACGCTGCCAATGGGAGCTAACAACAACCCAAGAGACAACCGTGTGGTTGATTAGAGGCATATAATGGCAGCTTCACTTCTCAAAGGAAATGTTTAGCAACATTTAGAAACTTTCACACGTGTGTATACTAAACAAAAATATGGATTTCACATGGCTGGGCAGGGGTGCAGCCATGGGTGGGCGTTGAAGGGCATAGGCCCACCTACTGGGGAGCCAGGCCCAGCCAATCAAAATTAGTTTTTCCCCCACAAAATGGCTTTGTTACAGACAGAAATACCACCCCCCTCCCCTTAGACAATCCCGTAGGTGAAGAAGCCAGATGTCCTGAGCAGGCGTGGTTACATGCGGTTGTGAAGCCAGTTGGACATACTTCCAAATTCTCTAAAACAACGTTGGAGGCGGCTTATGATAGAGAAATTAACATTAAATTCTATGGCAACAGCTCTGGTGGATATTCCTGCAGTCAGTATGCCATTTGCTCACTCCCTCAAAACTTGAGACATCTGTGGCATTGTGTTGTGTAACAAAGATGCACATTTTAGAGTGGCCTTTTATTGTCCCCAGCACAAGGTGCACCCGTATAATTATCATGCTGTTTAATCAGCTTCTATTTATGCCACACCTGTCAGGTGGAAGGATTATCTTGGCTAAGGAGAAATGCTCACTAACAGGGATGTTAATAATTTGTGCACAAAATTTGAGATAAATGAGCTTTTTGTGCGTATGGAACATTTCTGGAATGTTTTATTTTTGTTCAGTGTAATATAGCGAGTGAGAGAGAGCGAGTACTTGAAGTGTGCGGACTTGAATATAGGGTTATGGATAGGGTTGGGTTGAGCCATGGTTTGGACAGGAATCTCGTGTTAGTGTTAGGGTTTAGCCAGGGTGTGGACATGAATCTAGGGTTAGGGTATTGGCTAAGGTAAGGGTTGAGCTTGGGTATGGACATGTGTGTGATGCCGACTGCACTCACGTCTCTTATAGTCATGAATCTGCAAGTGGGCAGAGGACAGGTAGACGTCCACATCGTGCTGAAACACCTCCTCAAAGAAGCGCTGTCGCTCTCTCAGTTTCAACTGCTGGGCTGCATCCATTCCTGGGACCCTCTGAGCATGCTCGGTCTCCGCTGGCACAAAGAACAACAGAACATATCTGTCAGAAACAGGTCTGCAGGATCAACACTCCCCAAAGCTGCAACAAACAATGTGATGGCAAGAAGGGGGTAACACTGAACCATGGGAACAAGAAATGACAGGAAATATTTGGCCTTTACTGTAATCTCAGGTTTTGGGGCTGTGAATTTTAGGCTTTTCATATCCTCTTGCAGACTTGGTTTCCTTGGTACCACTAAGTAGCAGACACTTTTAGCATAATGTAGATAGAGCATGCATGTGCAACATTTCTTACTCATGCTTTACGGTGAAATATGATTGCATGACTGATCCTGTAAACCATATCATACATTCTCTTCTTTGTTTTATTCATGAAGTTTTAGGAACTCAGTTGGGGTATCAATTTACTATTGAGAGTAAGAATAGTAGAATACACCTGGTGCAATTTAGAAATGTGGTTTTGCATCAGCAGTTGTGCTTTTTCTCATGTTATGTCAGTCACTGACAGTCAATCAATTAGCCATGTCAGCTAACAATTTTTTGATTGGTAGTTAGTCTAGCCAGCCATCTGAACTTAATCATGGCCGAATCCCGACTAGGCAAGTGCCCAGGGGCCCTGAACTCCAGGGGCCCCCCATTGATTTTGTTAGTCATTATCACTCAGATATCATATTAGTATGGCATAAGTCATTACAAAGTGTGTAGAATTGCAGGAAATGATCTTTAAATGGCAACGTTTTCTCTACGCCCCATGGCAAAATGCGTAGAATTGGCAGAAATGAACATTTAAACAAAACATTTTCTTTCATGTTTCAAGTTTTTTAATGTCACGTGCACAAGTACAGTGAAACGCCTTTCTTGTCAGCTCTAAACCCAAGAATGCAATAATCAATGTAGTACTAAAAATAACATAAGGTAGGACAAAAATACAAGAGAAATAAAAATAAGAACACGAGAAGTAAGTAAGCTACAGTGCATTCGGAATGTATTCAGACCCCTTCCCCTTTTCCACATTTTGTTACGTTACAGGCTTATTCTAAAATGATTAAATAAATAAAAAAGTCCTCATCAATCTACACATTATACCCCATAATGACAAAGCGAAAAACTGGTTTTTAGACATTTTTGCCAATGTGTTAAAAATAAAAAACAGAAATACCTTATTTACAGAAGTATTCAGATCCTTTGCTATGAGACTCGAAATTTAGCTCAAATGCATCCTGTTTCCATTGATCATCCTTGAGATGTTTCTACAACTTGATGGGAGTCCACCTGTGGTAAATTCAATTGATTGGACATGATTTGAAAAGGCACACACCTGTCTATATAAGGTCCCACAGTTGACAGTGCATGTCAGAGCAAAAACCAAGCCATGAGGTTGAAGGAATTGTCTGTAGAGCTCCGAGACAGGATTGTGTCGAGGCACAGATCTGGGGAAGGGTACCAAAAAAAATCCTGCAGCATTGAAGGTCCCCAAGAACACAGTGGGCTCCATCATTCTTAAATGGAAGAAGTTTGGAACCACCAAGACTCTTCCTAGATCTGGCCGTCCGGCCAAACTGAGCAATCAGGGGAGAAGGGCCTTGGTCAGGGAGGTAACCAAGAACCCGATGGTCACTCTGACAGAGCTCCAGAGTTGCTCTGTGGAGATGGGAGAACCTTCCAGAAGGACAACCATCTCTGCAGCACTCCACCAATCAGGCCTTTATGGTAGAGTGGCCAGACGGACGCCACTCCGCAGTAAAAGGCACATGACAGCCCGCTTGGAGTTTGCCAAAAGCCACCTAAAGGACTCTCAGACCATGAGAAACAAGATTCTCTGGTCTGATGAAACCAAGATTGAACTCTTTGGCCTGAATGCCAAACGTCACGTCTGGGGGAAATCTGGCACCATCATGCTGTGAAGCATGGTAGTGGTAGCATCATGCTGTGGGGATATTTGTCAGCGGCAGGGACTGGGAGACTAGTCAGGATTGAGGGAAAGATGAGTGGAGCTAAGTACAGAGAGATCATTGATGAAAATCTGCTCCAGAGTGCTCAGGACCTCAGACTGGGGCGAAGGTTCACCTTCCAACAGGACAATGACCCTAAGCACACAGCCAAGACAATGCAGGGGTGGCTTCAGGACAAGTCTCTGAATGTCCTTGAGTGGCCCAGCCAGAGCCCGGACTTGAACCCGATCAAACATCTCTGGAGAGACCTGAAAATAGCTGTGCAGCAACACTCCCCATCCAACCTGACAGAGCTTGAGAGGATCTGCAGAGAAGAATGGGAGAAACTCCCCAAATACAGGTGTGCCAAGCTTGTAGCGTCAAACCCAAGAAGACAAGGCTGTAATCGCTGCCAAAGGTGCTTCAACAAAGTACTGAGTAAATGGTCTGAATACTTATGTAAATGTAATACTTTTTTCTTTTTTATAAATTAGAAAACATTTATAAAAAACCTGTTTTTGCTTTGTCATTATGGGGTCTTGTGTTTAGATTGATGAGGGGAAAAAACTATTTAAATCAATTTTAGATTAACCTAACAAAATGTGGAAAAACGTCAAGGGGGTCTGAATACTTTCCGAAGGCACTCCCAGTCCCTGCCACTGAAAAACATCCCCACAGCATGATGCTGCCACCACCATGCTTCACCGTAGGGATGGTGCAAGGTTTCCTCCAGACGTGATGCTTGGCATTCAGGTCAAAGAGTTCAGGGTCCGTTCCAATACCATATTTACAATGTGCAGGGATACTGGAGTGATAGAGGAAGATTTGAATAGGGGTAAGGTGACTAGGCATCATGATATATGATAAACAGAGTAGCAGCAGTGTATATGATGCTTGTATGTGAGTGTGTGCGTGAGTCATTATAAATGTGTGTGCATGTTATGTGTGTGTGAGCAAATAAAGTGAGTGTGTGTGTGTTGGAGTGTCAGTGTGCTTGAGTGTGCAGAGAGTGCAAAAATAAAATACAACGGTCAACTCAGATAGTCCGTGTAGCCATTTTGTTAGCTATTAAGCAGTCTTATGGCTTGGGGATAGAAACTGTTCAGGAGCCTGTTGGTGTCAGACTTGATGCACCGGTAGAGCTTGCCATGCGGAAGCAGAGTGAACACTATGGCTTGGGTTGCTGGAGTCTTTACCAATTTTCCCAGGCCTTCCTTTCACACTGCCTGATATAGAGGTCCTGGATAGCAGGGAGCTCGGCCCAAGTGATGTACTGGGCTGTTAGTACCACCCTCTGTAGCGCCATGTGATCGAGGGCAGTGCTGTTGCCATACCAAACAGTGATGCAGCCATTCAAGATGCTCTCATTGGTGCAGCTGTTTAACTTTTTGAGGATTTGAAGGCCCATGACAAACCTTTTCAACCTCCTGAGGGGGAAGAGGTGGTGTCACGCCTTCTTGTGGTCCTCTGTAGCTCAATTGGTAGAGCATGGCGCTTGTAACGCCAGGGTAGTGGGTTCGATCCCCGGGACTACCCATACGTAAAAATGTATGCGCACATGACTGTAAGTCGCTTTGGATAAAAGCGTCTGCTAAATGGCATATTATTATAATTCACGACTGTGCGGGAGTGTGTGGACCGTTTTAAGTCCTTAGTGATTTGGACACTGAGGAACTTGTAGCTCTCAGCCCGCTCCACTGCAGCCCCATCGATGTGGATGGGGGCGTGCTCACCACCCCGTTTCATGTACTCCATGATCAGCTCCTTGGTCTTACTGACGTTGAGGGAGAGGTTGTTGTCCTGGCACGACTCTGCCAGGTCACTTACCTCCTCCCTGTAGGCGGTCTCATTGTCGCCGGTGATCAGGCCTACCATCGTCGTGTAGTCAGCAAACTTGATGATGGTGTTGGAGCTGTTTTGTGGCCACGTAGTCGTGGGTGAACCAGGAGTACAGGAGGGACTAAGCACAGACCCCTGTGGAGCCCCCGTGTTGAGTATCAGCGTTGCAGAGGTAATGTTGCCAACCCTCACCACCTGGGGTCGACCCGTCAGGAAGTTCAGGATCCAGTTGCAGAGGGAGGTGTTCAATCCCAGGGTCCTAAGCTTGGTGACGTGCTTGGAGGGGACAATGGTGTCTGGGATGATGGAGTTGATGTGTACCATAGCCAGCCTTTCAAAGCACTTCATGATTACAGATGTGAGTGCTACAGGGCACTAGTTATTGTGGCATGAAGCCTTAGAGTTCTCGGGAACAGGAATGATGGTGGTCAGCTTGAGAAATGTGGGGATTACAGACTGGGACAAGGCGAGGTAAAAAAAATGACTGTGAATATGCCTGCCAGCTGTTCTGCGCATTCTCTGAGGTACGCGTCCTGGTATACCGTCCAGCCCCGCGGCCTTGCGAGTGTTCACCTAATTAAAGACCTTACTCACGTCGGCCTCTGAGAGCGAGATCACCCAGTCCTCTGGGTTGGTGGGGGCTCTCATGCATGGCACGGTGCTGTTATTGTTGAAGCGTGTATAAAATGCACTGAGTTCGTCTGGTAGAGAGACATCGTTGGCCACATCTCCACCGTCAATAGGGGGGCCACTAAAATGTTTTGCCGCAAGGTGTGGGGCCCCCCAACCAAATCTTGCATAGGGCCCCCAAAATGCTGGAGCGGGCCCTGGCTCCATGTTCTGATTCATTCCACATAAAGCTAATGCTTTTACTGTTGCAAGCCCATAAATTACCTGACCAGTGTGGATGGCTTGAGAAATCAAAACATACAATATTCACACAGTACTGCAGTGTACTATATTAAATCACTCCACACCCACCAATTGCTTTGCAAATGCCAACTGTCAATTCCCTTACTAAGTTAATCTTGTTTGGGATACAATGCAATCACATTTTCCCCCTCATCAGCACCATTGTAATAAAGCAGAGTACTGCTAGAGCCAGGGGAGGGGACAGCACACAAGTGTGATACACAAGAGAGAGGAAAGAGAAATGCAGGAACCCAGAATAACCTGAGGAGTGCCAGTGTGTTCATGGCTCAGAGTAAATCAGGTTACACCACCTTTTATTGTGGGCTCCCTGAACATATCATGTATATAGAGACTGACAAGACATCTTCTTCCACTGTCAACATATAACTCAAATCTGTAAACACAGTCACTAATGGATTAGCGATGGAATAAGGACTATGCCATCTTAAAGTGACGTGTACACACATTTAAGCAGACAGAAGATCGATATACATTGGGGATTTCAACACAGTTCTGTAAAAGTGTTGCCCTCTCTCTCTCACCACATCCATATATTGTCTGGGGATTTAGGCATAATGAGAAGCTACAGGCAGGGATTGGGCTAATTGGATGAGGTTTTTACGCATGGTCTAAACTGGGAATAATGTAAAGATGATCTGTCTTGTGCTGTGAGCACTGATCACACCCAGGCAGTGGTGCTATTAGCAGCACAGTACTTAGGCTCAGAGCAGCTGAGGACAGAGAGGGATCAGGATAGAAAGAATAACAGGGGAAAGAGGAACTAGGCCTCCGACCAAATGGGTGTCTGATCGTATTTTCACATTGTCTTCATAAAATGTTTTTTTTTTATCCTTGCTGAGTCATGACAAGGAATCACATGAAGCAGTGTTGCTTCTGTTTGTGTTGCCAATGCTTCTCAGTAAGCAAATGGTACGGTATAATGATAATACCAATGGTGTTCCTGGTTTTCCTTAGTATGCAGAATGATTCAAGGCCATCTGAAAAGGGCAACCGGCTCCCCGCGGTACAGTCTGCTGTGTCAGCCCCAACTTCCCTGTGGGTCCTGCGGAGCCCTCTGTCTAGTGACAGCAGGAGGCAGGCCTGTCACAGCAACTTCCTGTCTCCTTCAGTCTGACAGCCCTGTCCTAGGGGTTCGGGTCGGCCGGGGAGGAGAGGGGAGACGCCTCACTCACCCCCTGGGCCTGTCTGTCTGTCTGCACCACTGGGCATCTGTGGGTAAACACTAAGACACTGAGCCATGTGAGGGAGAGCCTCTGACACCAGCCCAAGCAAACTCTCAGAGCTCCAGAGGCAGAAAAACCTAAATGACACAGCAAAAATACAGCGCTGGTGAGAAGTCTGCTGTGTCCTGCCAAACATTAAATGAGTTATGTCGGTTCATAACATTGGTATTCTATCTGATCTATGGGTTACAAGTTTGCAGTCATGGAATTAGGCCATGACTGTGATTCTTCTTGGATTCTATTGCCCCTGATTCAGTTGCACTTTCTTTGAACCCACCCTCATGAAGCCAACTTTACCCACATTTCAGATCTGTGTATGTACATGATGTAACTCGTTACAATGAGCAACAACATTTAATCCCGTCACTTCTATTTTCTAACATCACTTGCAGTGGTGTGCAGGCTAACAGCTATCTGACCAACTAAGCTAAACTGAGGCATGTAACAAGCCAATATAATTAGAGATATATCTTTCACTCCTGAAGCAGTCTCTACTCTCCTCTCCTTTATTGTCTTCTCTTCTCATTCCCTTTCCTTGTGGTCATTGTTAACATCAAGTGATGAAAAATCATTACCCAGCCTTTAGAACTTTTTTCATTGTCATTTCCAACTCTGTATTTTCTGAAGGTCAAGTTTCCCAGAGATGGTTTTTATGTAACCAACAGAGAGAGAAATATAGTGTCACTCTTGTTACTCCCCTGCAGAAAGCAAAGCATGGCGTGAGTGTTGGAGTTAAGATTACGTAATGAAGCCGTACGACTGACTGCACTGAAGCACTCTCGCCATGCGGGCTGCTCTTCTCTTCAGCCTCAGTCTGGGAGACCATGTGAACTCATGGTCTGGGTCTACAGACATTTACATTAGAAAACTCAATGGAAATCTAATATATCATCCGATTTCTCAAAAAACAAGCCTATTGTGATGTCACAAGTTCTTACTGCATCACTAGTGTGCACGGAACCCAAACGTATCACAATGTGATGTCATAAAGTTATTACCTGTAATGCATCACTGGTTTCTATGGAGACCTACAGATGTCGGATCTTAACTTGATCACTCTTGTCGCTCATTGGGATCAGGGCTTGCAATCAAAATAATTGTATCTCTCGCTTTTTCTAATGCTAGGCCTAGGTCCTATTACTGCAATATTCAAATGTACAAAAATGTATCTGAAATGCAGCCATAGACATCAACAACTGTCATTTTTATATAGCTTAAATAACACAAGCTAGATATTGGTCTCCACGACATACAAGTGTCTAGTGTATCCTAAGGTTACGAATGGAGTTCAATCGTGGCCTGGGGTGGTCTAGCGGTTAAGGCCAGCACGCACATATAGGCCTACTGTATCAGTGTGGGTTCGATTCTGGCCCACGCCCTTCTGGCACAAATAACTCAATGCCCCGATTGACTTGACGTACACTACCAGTCAAAAGTTTGGACACACCTACTCATTCAAGGGTTTTTCTTTATTTTGACTATTTTTTACATTGTAGAATAATAGTGAAGTCATCAAAACTATAACACATAAGAAATCATGTAGTAACCAAAACAGTGTTAAAAAAAAATCTAAATATATTTGAGATTTTTCAAATAGCCACCCTTTGCCTTGATGACAGCTTTGCACATGCTTGGCATTCTCTTAACCAGCTTCATGAGGTAGTCACCTGGAATGCATTTCAATTAACAGGTGTGCCTTGTTAAAAGTTAATTTGTGGAATTTCTTTCCTTAATGCGTTTGAGCCAATCAGTTGGGGGGGGGGGGCATACAGAAGATAGCCCTATTTGGTAAAAGACCAAGTCCATGTTATGGCAAGAACAGCTCAAATAAGCAAAGAGAAACGACAGTCCATCATTACTTTAAGACATGAAGGTCAGTCATTACGGAAAATGTCAAGAACTTTGAACATTTCTTCAGGTGCAGTCTCAAAAACCATCAAGCGCTATGATGAAACTGGCTCTCATGAGGACCGCAACAGGAATGGAAGACCCAGAGTTACCTCTGCTGCAGAGAATAAGTTCATTAGAGTTACCAGCCTCAGAAATTGCAGCGCAAATAAATGCTTCACAGAGTTCAAGTAACAGACATCTCAACATCAACTGTTCAGATGAGACTGTGTAAATCAGGCCTTCATGGTCGAATTGCTGCAAAGAAACACTACTAAAAGGACACCAATAATAAGAAGAGACCTGCTTGGGCCAAGAAACACGAGCAATGGACATTAGACCGGTGGAAATGTGTCCTTTGGTCTGATGATTTATTTAGAATTCAAGGCACACTTAACCAGCATGACTAACACAGCATTCTGCAGCGATTCGCCATCCCATCTGGTTTGGGCTTAGTGGGACTATCATTTGTTTTTCAAAAGGACAATGACCCAAAACACACCTCCAGGCTGTGTAAGGGCTATTTGACCAAGAAGGAGAGTGATGGAGTGCTGCATCAGATGACCTGGCCTCCACAATCCCCCGAACTCAACCCAATTGAGATGGTTTAGGATGGTTTGGGGTGGCAGGTAGCTTAGTGGTTAAGAGCGTTGTGCCAGTAACCGAAAGGTCGCTGGTTCTAATCCCCGATCCGACTAGGTGAAAAATCTGTCGATGTGCCCTTGAGCAAGGCACTTAACCCTAATTGCTCCTGTAAGTCGCTCTGGATAAGAGCGTCTGCTAAATGACTTAAATGTAAATGTAATGAGTCGGACTGCAGAGTGAAGGAAAACATTTACATTTTCGTCATTTAGCAGACGCTCTTATCCAGAGCGACTTACAAATTGGTGCATTCACCTTATAGCCAGTGGGATAACCACTTTACAATATATATATATATAAATATATATATATATATTATTATTTATTTTTTGGGGGGGTGGGGTAAGGGGGGGGGGTAGAAGGATTACTTTATCCTATCCCAGGTATTCCTTAAAGAGGTGGGGTTTCAAGTACAAAGGAAAGCAGAAAAACAGCGGCGCAGTGCTCAGCATATGTGGGAACTCCTTCAAGACTGTTGGAAAAGCATTCCAGGTGAAGCTGGTTGAGAGAATGCCAAGAGTGTGCAAAGCTGTCATCAAGGCAATGGGTGGCTATTTGAAGAATCTAAAATATAAAATATATTTTGATTTGTTTAACACTTTTTTGGTTACTACATGATTCCATATGTGTTATTTCATAGTTTTGATGTCTTCACTATTCTTCTACAATGTAGAAAATAGTAAAAATAAAGAAAATCCCTTGAATGAGTAGGTGTGTCCAAACTTTTGACTGGTACTGTAGTTACACATCTCAAAAATTGTGACGAGTACTGAGGATACGAAGAGGCAGGACGCAGACATCAACAAGGTAAAAGTTTACTTAACAATGAGAAAGAGAATAACAAGGAGCGAGTAAACGACACGACGCTAACAATTACACACAACAATGACTGAACAGTCCAGGGATATATAGTGGTGGTGATGAGATTAGGTGCAGGTGCGCTGGAGGTGATTAGGGTGCGTTGGGTTTCCATTCCTGTGTTGCCGAGGTGGTGCGCTCACACCGGTGGCTCAGTAGACCGGCGAATCAGAGCGCCGGAGGGGAGCAACGGGAGGAGACGTGACAGTACCCACCCCCGGACGCGCGGCTCCTGCCGCAGGACGTCACCTGCCATAAGGACGACCCCGAGGACGAGGAGCGGGCCGGTCAGGGTGGCGACGGTGGAAGTCCCGAATTAGATTGGGGTCCTCCGGCGGATTAATGACGTGTTGTACCGGCTGCACCTTCCCCCTCACTACCGTGTCTCACCTACTTTTCATGTGTCTCTCCTCAGGCCGGTGGTTCCTGGTCCTCTGGCATTATTCATGTCAGATATTTCCATTTTGGGATAGTTGTTCACTGAATTGCTAGCACTAGTTGCTCATCCTGCTACAGTGGCTACAATGTGGCTACAAACAATGTGGATGGAGAAGGAAATGCATTGTCAATTATCATCAAGCTGTACCCTTTCCATGCATACTAAATGTTTGGGGGGGGGTTCTTATGACATTGCCAGCAGTAAGATTTGAGTTCAATATCCCAAATTACAAGGGCTGTCACTTTCTATTTTCTGACAACAACAAAAAATAGCCAGGCCCAAAACAACCCCTCAGGCTTTAACAGGGATCCAACATCTGTAACACATCATAATGGTTACATCCATATAAAAGCCCATTGCATTCAAAGCTTTGCTCACATTGCTTTCAGAGAGCATCTAATTAGTTTTTGTCTATTGCTTTTCATTGTACAAAAACTCAAGACCGACACAAGATTGATAGCCGAATCTACTAAAATGGGTCAATCCCAGAGTGACCCGACAGCCCCTAAAAGGCAAACTGCCTCAGGAAGATGAAACAGAAAAAGCCACCCAACAAGACCTCAAGACCCCAGACCATGGAAAAATAATGAAAGATTCTAAGGACCAAGAATGCCGACCTAACTCCTCCAAATCAACTGAACGACCGACTGAGTGGAAGATACAGCCTAGTAATTTTAACCTTTCTAATTCATAAATAAATGCATATTATCATAAAAACAATAAGATAAGTGTAAGATAAGAGAGGCTGTCTTGTGACACAACAGCACAACAATACAAACTGTAAGTTAGCTCAAGCTCTTAACATTTGTCAAAAAAATTAAACAAAAGAAAGAAAGAAACCTCAATGGAGCTCTTTACTATGTCCCCCGTCAGGTATAGATGGCATTCAACAAGGTCACTGGAGAGGTCTGCATGCTCAGAGCAGAGCTGTTCAGTGTAGGCATGGGGAAAGGGAGTGACTCCTTTGTGTCTTCTCACAGTCTTACGCAACCAGACATGCCACTGTGTTCTCTCATAAGGGCACAGTGGAAGCCATGCTGACAAAGCAAGATGCCAGCCAAAATTGAGGCCAGGCATCTGAGGAGGATGTCCGACATGAACTTTAATTCATTTTGATTACTGGAATATCAAAACATGCCAGGGTGCATCTCAAAATACTGGTTGCATGAACGATGTCTGAGGGCTCTTTTTAAAACCTCTTAGATGTAAAGTCCCCTGTTTTGGGGACCTGCGTGGTTATGGTTCCGACCGACATTTTCACTTATATATTGATATGTGGACACCATAGATCAAAATGACTTGCATTGAGCGGTAACCCTGATTCTCACGAACACAGGAGTATGTTTCCTCTGCCTGTGTGAAGCAGAATGTGAAATGTGAAATCACTTGAAGCTGGGATGTCCCTCCTACCACTTAATTTGCTCTTCCGACTGTCCATCAACTCCTGGCTGAACCCTACATCACAGCATATGCCTGGAATCCTTGCATCATAATGCAGCAGGAGAGAGTGGTTTCGTCACTGTAGCACATTCAGAGATCGATTTATAGCCAGTAATCTAAAATAATTAATAGATTTTAAACAAAAAACACTGTTTGTCATAGACGGACAATATTAATGTGAGATGAAAGGCGAGTTCCTAACGAGTTCAGGAAGCCAAGCTATAGCTCTTTGAGGCGATGGGGGCAGATGTTTTGATCAAGAGAGACCTTTAGAGAATATGCACATTTTCTCTTAAACTAAATATACAAGGGAGGTGAAATCTTATAGTTAGTCATTTTATAAATTGATTATACTATATTTAGAAAAAATATAAGTCATTTCAAGCCTTATTCAAGAATTTTGCTAGGACTGTCTGGGAGTGGTCTGAGTGGGGAGGGGAAACTGAAAATGTGCGGTTATTGGCAGAGAGGTTTGGAACTATTTTTTCATTGGTCTATTAGCAAACGTACAGCCTGGTGATGTCACCAGGCAGACCAAAACTCCATCCCACCAAAACAGGCAGAAATTTCAGGCGATATTTTCAAAGAG